CTTGCCAGGCAAGGTTTTCATTCTCAAGTATAAATCAAAGAGATCAGCTAGTATTAAGTCATCTGGTCTCTCTGCGGTTCAGATTTATATTTTACTCTACATTGCTTGTCCCTCTTTCTTTAAAAGCTTTCTTGTTCAACATTGTATCTAGCTCTCTGCTTAAGACAGTGAAGTATAAAGAAAGACAGAAGCTATGTCGTCGCTGATCCCAGTCCTCAGATCCCCTTCTCCCCTGCATGTGAACAACGCACATTCAGAGCAATTGGGAATGATGTATCTAAGGACGCGCTTGTGTGCCGGCACAGTTTTTACAATGGTGCTTTTCCTGACTGAGATAATACGTAGCTAATAAATCCTTTATGTCTCTCATATTCACTGACCGTTAATAAAATGCCCATATACTCAGATATGAGCATTCAAACGAGTTTTGAAACTTCATGCTTACTTTGCCTATTCGTTTATCCTGATTCCTGGGCAAAACAGACAGCTGTGTAGGGTCTAGTTGTGCTTGAGATGGTGTGCTTGCTTTTGGCAATAGTGTTGTGAAAGCTCTCTTCTCTCTGTGTCCCTCTCTTGTGCTCCATGTTTCTTTCCTCCGGTTGTACTGGCACAGCTACTGCTGGATCAGGGAATTGATCCAAATTAAAAAAAAAAAGTGAAACAAAACCAGGAGGAAATTGGTTAGCTTCTGGATTGGGCTCACAAGGTAGCTGCACAACAGAATGGCGATGTGGAGGCAGGAACAAGTAATCTGGGACAGAGAGAGGCAAGCTGGTCACTGCCACAGCATTTACATGTCGAGACAGACTTAGAAATGCAGCTTCCACTACTGAAGGAGAATGGTTTCTTCTAAATCACTCCCTAGAGTCAATTATTAAGCAAGTTTCTCAAAAAAAAAAATAAAATCAGACTTTAAATTTGCTCCTTGTTTCATAACATTTTTGTACATCCTTCTTTGCAATTCGCTGTATAGAAACACTTCATCTGCATTTCACATCTTAACATATGGAAAGGCAGAGCAGTTTCATAACAGGAAAACTTCACTGTCCGTTCACAGAGCCTGGCAGGAGCCTTGTAGGTGTATCTAATAATCCAGAGCACATTTTTAGTGTCAGGTTTCACTCGGTGACTCTTTCAGACCACTGCTGACCTTCCAAACCACCGGTGCTGTGCTGACACTGCCCTGAGTCTCAAGACAAACCTAGGACCTCAGTTTACTGCAATTTTCAGTCCATGGTAGCTATTTAGTGCAACATCGCACAGGCTTTCAACAGAGCCACCAGGACTTATGTCATTCTCCAGGCACATGGGACCCAATCTGCTCAATCTTTAACTAGGTCCCATCAGTATTCTGTCTCCAGGACAGCATTAGGTGCTAACGCAAGTGTTAATAACTTTCCATATTAACTACTGTCTAGGGAGTTTTTCCACTTTTTCCTCCCCCTTTATGTTCTGCCTAAAAAAAAAAACCCTATTAATAGCAAGGAGGAACAGTCAAGTGGTTGCAAGACAACAGCGATTCTTATGCGCTTCCATCCACTTCCAAAGGCCGGTTACTCTTCACGAAGACATTTTAGACATATACAGATCAAAATAATTACTTGAGAAGTTATATTAATAGGTTTAATGAAGAGCTATCAAAAGAGACTTGAAAGTGTCCTAACAGTCATGATGAGCTATACGTTGGCAGGGTTTTATGGAAAGAACAAAACGAGAGGCAGAAAAGGAACTGCCGGTATTCTCTAGGCTGCCCACGCTGCTGTACCACCCGCCAAACTTGGTGGACTTTGCAGCTGATATGACACCTTGGGGGAAGAGTTTGTAGTTTTTTCATTCTAAAACTCCTGCTCGTGTTTGTAGTAGAATTATTTATGGACAACAACTCCTCCAAATACAGAGACAGTGCTCGTGGGATTTCTGAGGCCTTATTCAATGTGATGAGATGTCCTGTTGAAGAGAATATAAAAGCTTGTCTAAAGTGAAAAACTAGAGCTATTTACCAACAGAGAGCAAAGACTCAGGCAGAGCATGTTATCTACTGCAGAAAATAGCAAGTGCCACGTGGGTTGAGGGACATGAATGACCATGGATGCTACAAAAGATGAAGAATATTAATAACTACTTTTTCCCCTGCCAGTGTCACCATATCACCTTTAAAATATCCAGATGCTACTCTCCCAGTGAACTACCTTTTGTAACTGTATCATTCAATACCAGCTCAGCCAGACCCAAAGACTATTGCAATCTCCTTCTCAAATCCCAAATCCACCTTCCATTCCTCCAAAGCTGGTGTAGCTCAGAACTTCTTCAAGTTCAGATCTTAGCCAAGTCCAGCTCACGCTCACATCATCTGCAGAGCAGGAAATTCCACCTGTGCTGAAATTTCCAAAGATGTTAGGGACTTTTGCACAAATCCCTACTGAAAATTAGGCAACGTGGATTGCTATAATGTGTTATTGTGGAAAAAGAGCCTTAGCTTATCTTCTTTCATACCCTCTGGAGGGCTGAAAAGTAATAGGGTCAAAGCAGGAAACTCAGTTGAAATGAACTCTTACATATTTCACACAGTTTGTTCACTGTCCCCTTCTCCTCCTCCCCCCCCTTTTTTTTTTCCAACTCCAGTTTTTCAATTTTTCCATCCATCCATTTTCAGCAACTGATTACAGAATATCACATTACAAGATGCTATCTTAGTATCCTGTACAAAATCCCACCGCTGAGAGCAAACAGTCACTAAGACTAAATACTGAACAGACTTTAGGCTGTAGATACGCCCAAGAGACTTGATGAAGGCTTGGATCTTGGTAGAAGACAGCTGAGAGAAACTGCTGGTCCACTTTTAAGTGCTCAGTGCAAGTACATAGGAGATGCTTGGTTTAGCCAGGAACCCTAGGGATGGGCCTCCAAATGAAGTCCCATCCAGATGTTCATAGCACACTACATCGCCCAGGGTCCCATGGAAGACATGATCTATTGAGGAGCATGGGGAGCAAAAGGGAGGGAGAGAAGAGGAAAGGTCTGCTGAGCACACGCACAGGAATAAAAAGAAAAGCGCTGGCTGAGTTCCAGAAATAAAAATCTGGCCCTGCTGGAGTAGGTGGGAGCTTTGCCATTGGATTTCAATGGAGACAGAATTTCACCCGATGCAAACAGTGCTCTGGAAATATCCTCCCTCCAGACACACTGTGGGAGCTCTTCTGGCTCTGAATACTCACTGGAAACACAGAGAGGGAAATTAAACCCAAACCGAGACAACAATACCAGAACCATTAATCAACAAACAAAAAGGATGCAACAACAATTAAGCAAAAAGTATTGCAGAAGTGAGCGGAAAGAAGGCAAGTCCTTTACCTCCTGGGCCACTGAACTTTGCCAGGAATAAGGAGGGATGCGAGGACTTGTGGTGGTGGGTACAGGGTGCCATGTCGAGACTGCACTGGAGGCAGTTTGCACAGGCTCAGTAACAAGAGGAAGAAAAACTTGTAGCACAGATTCAGCCTTGGAGCATGCTCCTGTCGCCAGGCTATATAAAGGAGCCAGAACCTAGCAACTTCAGCAAAGATTCCTAGGAGCAATCAGCGTCATCGCTTACAAATTCCCAGGCAGGCTAGTTCACAGAAAGGGCACGCTCAGCAAGCTCTGCAGTTGTGTGACTATGAGGATTCTGGAAATGAGAAATACAATGTCTGAATACAATAAACAGACACAATGCTTGTAAAGCCCCATCTATGTGACAGCTATGACCCAGTTATTTAGCTTACAGTTGCCCTCTGATTTAGTAGGCTTTTGGTTTCACAGCACAACTATACAGTGGTCCCAGACATCCCCGTTTCACTGACTTAAGAGTTCAGGCTGCCCAAGATGATAAGTTCTACCTTGCAGAGTGCCTGAGCATCCCAAATCCACCTAAAGCAGCTGAAGGGACAAATTCCCATCACTGCTGGAACTCAGCCCCTAACCCCCAACCAAAGACCTCTTCTTTGCTATAGCTCTGCTGCAAAAAGGGACCAAAGGGCTCTGTTTCTGGAAACTACTGCAAATTACACCACTTGGGAGGTGGTGACGACAGCACGTAAACTTGCACACCTACCACTGACTGATACTCAAGTACTGTGTTCCACTTTGAGATGAGAAAGCCAGATGAAGATTCATGTCTACGTATCAACGATGGATGAGTGACAACAGCTAACCAAGCATTAAACCAGCGTTCCCTGAGTGACTGTGTGTGACAGGCACAGTGTAGGCAGGGACACACCCGGGTCTGGAAGCTCCCAAGGTCCTTTGAGCTTTACTCAGGACTCCTCTTTCCTCACAAAACAACTGGAAAGGTCGGTTTTTAGCAGTGAGTCCCCAGCCACTCCTGTGATGGCATCAGTGAATGAATTCCTTGTTTTGCTTGTGCACATGGCTTTTGCTTTCCGTATTAAACTGTCTTCATTTCAGTCCAAGAGTTTTCTCACTTTTACCCTTCTGATTCTCTTCCCAATCCCACCGGGGAGGAATGACCAAGCAGCTATGTGGGGCTTAGCTGCTGGCAAGGGTTAAACCACGACACATGTTCACTATTTATTTTATGACACACAGGGAAGAGTAACTTCCACAAGGACACGCATCAATCTGCTTCACAAAGAAGCCAGGTGATACACGGTGGGTTATCATGGTGAATGGGATCACCTACTATAAACAGCATCTGAAGATGACCATAAGTTTACACGTTTTGTGTTGACTGAAATAGCTTGTGCTGCCCATGCAGGAGACTCCACTTAGAGTCTGATATTCGACACACTGATTCGCACACAGGCTGGACGCGTTGGCAGTACAGCAGAAGGACGTGACATTTAAATTTACTTACCCTGTGGATTTCCGCTGGGCTTACAGTAAGGCCATTGCTCCAGTGAAAAAGCCCTCAGAGACCACTTTTCCCACACTAGAGATGGGTTTGTGATTCGGGTTTCTAAACATTGATTTCAATGCAAATTCTGCCAGAAAAAGGAACTTACTGCTTGTTGTGAAGTTACCTTCCCCAACCTGGGGAAAGGAGTCTACGTCTTGGATGACTTGTAGTACTCCCACAGTCCGCACTGGGGGATCCAGGGCTACTGAGCTCTCATTCACTGTTATATCGCTGGCTCCCGTTATCTGGTTAGTTGGTGGTCCTCCTATGGATGCTTCCAAGTCTGGAGGTATATCATCCATGCAATCTGCATTTGGCTAATGGGAAAAGAAAGAAGAAAATTGAGCTTTCACCTGATAAAAAGATTTAAATTACCTGTTCCCACTTCTTTAGGGCTTTTTCATTTTCTTTCAGTACTAAAAATGGCAACATATCATGAATAAACAGGCACAGTTTGTTTGTTTTCATGTACTTAAAAGTTCTTAATACAATCTGTTGCAAGAGAGATCCAAAGTATGCACTGGAAATATTCAGTATTAAACTATGTCACCTACAACCTCTAAATAGTCTTATTTACAGTTTTTAAAGGGTTTGGGAGAGCGCGCATTAAAAAAGTAACTCACTTATTGATATGATCTGCTCAACACAGGCAGATTGCTGAGTCAGATTACAAATGTAAACAGAGACAGTAGCTGAAGGGGAATGATTATCTCTTCCCTAAATACACATTTTATTGCGCTGATATGAGAGCTTTCAGGAATAGGAATCCAAGGGAACTGCCTGTGGGTGCATCTATGTGTGGCATGCAAAAATAGAAGCTAAAGCTGTTTATAAGACGAGTTTTTTAATATCAAAAGATCCTTCCCTTTGCTAATGCCGTATTTCCTACAAAATAAAATTATATGAAAAGAAATAAACAAGTGATAATTGGTATTTGAAGAGCATTATTCGATCCATAGCCTTTTTTGCTTTCTGATTCAAAGAGACCAAGGATGGAACCCAGTTCTGGTGAATTTAGACACTTCTGTCTTGCAGTTACATAGTGAACGCATCGACACCTCCGGAAGGAGCCAAGCTCTTCAAGTCAGGTATCTGCCTTTCCATTGACCTTACAGGGAAGCAATGAGGGGTGGGCTGCGGTGCCCACCTTTTGCACGGTATCCTTAGCATTGAGCTAGGTGCACTGAGACTTCAAGTGGGTGCTGGGCAGCAAAGCGGATCATTTGTCCAGAAACACTATATCCAAGAGTAGTTTCTACTCTTGATTTCTCCAGCCCTGTTATAAGCCTGATGCTCCCATTCATACAGCAGTGATTTCTGTGGAGCTCCCCATAAACACTGGTGACAAACATTTGAGTAAAACCTTCTTTTCCTCTAAGAGGAAAGAGATTCTTGTGCCACGTGCCCATAGAACCAGGTCTCCCAAGGCATGGAGAAAAATTGTTTGCGTAACTATTTCAAGAACAAGGTTATGAAGTTTTAACATATCCTAACAAAACTAAGGCTAATTCATAAACGAGGATGCAGTATGTCAGGGTGCAATGCTTCCAAAACGACAGAGGGACATAGCAAGGTTGAGCTGTAGTCACGTGGATATCTTGTTAAGTCAGGAAATGTGAAATTACATTGTTCCCGTTTATCCTTATGGTCCAGGAGTCAGACAGCTAATCTGGATCAGTCACTTAGGTTTCCTCTAACTTGAACAGTTTGAGACAACTTCTCTGTCAGACTCATCCCACCCTAAGGTAAACGGGATGAATTGCCCCCTCTGCCTTCCCACTGCTCAGCACTAAGCAGAGATGGGGCTTAAGCTGCTAGGCTGGAAATCCAACATCTGGATAGCTAAAGTCAGAGGGGGGGTGATGTACCCTGCTCTGAGGATCTGATTTTTGCTATGCTTAGTTGTCTCACTTGCTAAGGTATTTTTGAAAATGTCACTACCTGCCTATCTCCAACAGCAGGCACCTAGAAACTAGGCAAAATATGATACTGCAAAGACTTATACAGAGGCTTAGCTTTAAGCACAAGAGTAATCCCTTTGAACTCAGGCATAGAAGGTTACCATATGGTTGCATTTTGTGCAGAACCAGGAACGTAGCATGTTTTCTCTTTTCGCATACATTCCCTGTCTTGACTGTTGCCACCTCATAAATATTTTTTTCACAAATGTTCCTAATGAAAAAGGCAGGCATTTTAAACAACCCTCAGATGACTTACACCACAAACAAGTTTGGGATAAAAATTAGAATTGTCGTTGTCTGGCTCCAGGCTAATCCACAAGCAATGAGAGCTCCTCAGAACTGGGATAAATGCACATTCAGCTATACCAGGTTTTAATGAAACTCATTGAACCTGTACTTTTCTAAGTGAAATACCAATCATTTATCTGCAGGACTTGGATTCAAAATTCCTTCCTTAGATCTACCATTCTTTTCCTCATCCTTAGCTGTTACAACAAATGCTTTCAGAATTTAATTTTTAACTGAAATTTGGCCTTGATAGCAGTGTATCTTGAAGAAAAAAGCCCGTTCTTTTCTTTTCTACTCTAGGGAAACCCATTTCAAATTTTTTCAGGGAATCAGTTGTTTGTCCTTTGCTCTGACTCTAGTTATTTGTAGAATTTTTTTTTTATTACTAACTTTTAAACTTTTAAAAATGAGGGATTATAATTGAAAGCCAAACCAAACCTTAAAGATGCAAAAATAGCACTGCTCGATACAATTAATCCCTTTACACCTGAATCATTTTAGCTGAAAAAATATACCCCAAACTAAGCAGCACACTGTAAAACTAATGATATGAAATACTGATCGAAAGAAATACATTATGGCTTCTGCTGTCAGACTGACCCAGATACATTTGCTAAGTTTAATTATATTGGTTTCACTCATTCCCTGCATGTAAGTGCTTTGAGGGCACAATTCCACTAAAGTCAAGGGAAGGCTTTGTATTGACTTCTGAGGGCTTGGCTAAGGCTCTTAGTGAATAGCTTCAAGTCATCCAATCTGCTGCCAAAAATGCAGCTGTCTGCATATCCAGCAGATATTTGCAGAAAAGGGGGAGAAGCAGAAGGAAACTATTTTATGTGATACGATCATCCAAATAGCAACGTGATTCTTTAAAAGTGAAAGACACTTTCGCCGATAATTCACTTGAAATATTACAGCCAAAAAAGAGGTATAGCCCGAGCTGAATCCACTGGCAAAGAGACAATGAAAAAGGTTACGCCAACTGTTTCCTGATAGATAGTTAGTTAATAATCCTTTGGAGCTGCAGAGAGCCACAGTGAAAAGCAGAGATGCTCGGGTGCTCAGCTACCGTGAAAATGAGTGCAGTCATTTCAGTGCCTCGCGGCAGCCTGGGAAATCTGGTTTTAGGGCAGATAATATTTGAAGTCTCTGTTACAAAGTAAATGGAGAGTTTAGATGTGAACTGAATTGAAGCACTTAGATATCTGGGTTTTAACCAATCGTTTCCTGGAAGATCCTGAGTCTTCCTGCTAAATGAAGCACAATATATCCAGTGTCACACAAGCCAGCTCTTTAAAAACAACCACAGGACAGACATGCAGCTGGCAGGAAGAAAATCATATTAGCCCTGCCTATGGTAAGATTTCCTCATTCCTCCCATTGTAAAAGCTTGCAAAAGGACTTTGGCAAATTTGCGCCCAAGTCTCCCATCAGAGACTGCTGCATGGAAATTTCAGCTAATATGGCTCAGCAAGATCCAAGACTGTGGTTAGCGAACAGCATTTTGCTTTATCCACTCTACCAAAACGTTTACCAGCTCTCACTGAGAAGTCCTAGAGCTTTACAGCTTCTTCCAGGGAAATGTCCTTTCCCACAACAGTCTACTGACATCTGGCTAAGATAGGAGCCTCCAAAAACATCACTTCCCACGTGCCGATAGAGGCTGGTGGCTTATTCAGGACTGACGACGACACTCTCCAAAGAGAAGAGGGCTTTGCGTGGTGCCTGCAAGCTCACGGTGGCACCAGCAAGCACCCCTGGGGCTGATGCCCACCCCAGGCTGCCCTCAGCTGCTGCCAGGCAGTGAGAAGGGTGAGGACACACAATTTCCACGTGGGTGGAGAACGGGTCCTGCAAGCTGAGCAGGGAACACGAGTAGCGATGGCAGGGCTGGAGCTCAAAAGGATGAAGGTTGGGCAGGAGGGGTTATGTGGAGGAGAGGCAGGAAAGTGCACGAGGTCGGAGAGGGAGAAGCAGGAGCTGGGGCGTATTTTAGAAAGAGAAGGCAGAGAAAACAGAGGAAAGGAGCAACTGATAGCAGTGGAGGAATTGTCAACCCCCAAGCTAAAAGATGCTCTCAGACTCCCGCTTCCTTTGCTGTCAGCCAGAGGAAACTCCTGACACAAAGGCCACCATCTGCTCCCAGTTCCCCTGGACAACAGCTCCTACTGTAAGTCACCTTGAGGGGTAAGGCTCTAGTGTGCGGCTCTGCCTTCATGATCCTGACCGATGATCCATGTGGGTGGGAGCCAGTACGCCTCCCCTGAACGATGGAGCAGGCTGTTTTCAGTTGGCTGTCTTAGAACAATCCAGGCAAATTTTTACAGGAATTCATACAATAAAATCTTCTAAACCAACTGTGCTAGTGGAACATTAACATCCAAGCACTTGATTTTTAGCGTTAAGACAGATCAGCACTAAGGCTGGTTCTGAAATCTTAATTTGACCCAGTTGTTTATGTTGGTTAAAGCAGTATCTTTAATTATATGCCCAGTTCAATTATTTCCACAGAAGCTTCATGCGGAAGGCACGGAGGGGAGCAGGACAGATCCCCCTTCTGCTACGCAGTACAGAGAGAACGAGACAGGGAGCTGTAAGAAGAGAAACGATGGCTGAGGAAATCAAATGGCACTTGAAATTATTCCTGGCAATTAGGTTCTCTACCTGCCACTACAGACCTGTTCAGTCATGTATACCAAAACCTTTACACGTGGCCTCTGGGCATGTTTTCCCTTCCCCTCCACGTTCCCAGGCTCAGACAGCCTCTAAACTTTCTGGAAAGACCTTAACATCTCACTGCAGGCCTCCGAAAAGTGGAGGTCTGATTTGTCTATATCCCCTGATCATGAACCCAGATGAAGAGCGTGTTAATGTAATGAAAAAACATGAATGGACCAGTGTGAGAGCAGAAATGGTATGGTCCTGCATGGTACAGAACAAAGCCATGGAACAATATACTGAGTATGGAGAAGAGGTGTCAAAGTCCTGGGTAACTGCTCACTGGCAGACCTGTGAACTCAGTTCCACGTGAACTGAGACATGGAACCCGGGGAAAAAAATTCTGTGTTTAAGTCTAGGCGCCAAGATGCTGAATGGCAGAGCCAGTCTTTTCTGACTTCCCAAATACTGATTTCACAGTTGTATCATCTTTTAATATTCTAAAGATAATACATAGGCTTAGCAGCAAAAGTAGCCCAGCTGTAATGACATGTTACCCTAACTACAATGCTCTACTTCATTTTTCCCACTGCGTGTTTTTAGCTTGGATTATATTAGGTTGATTAACATACCTGCCTACTTCAGTAAAAACACACTTCGTCACTTGCTGTGCAACCTCTTCTGCAGCCACCTGCCCGCCTTCCTCATCTCCCTGAAAATGAACTCTTGGGGAACGGCTGCATCGGCTCCCCTCGTATGTTCACGTGAGCTATTTTACTTTATACAGCTCTTGCATATGTGAGCTGGTGTGTCACCATCTGTAACTGGGGAGGGTATTTACAGCACCTGTTAATGCATCAACTGGTGGTGCTTCACTAGTGAACTTCACCATCACCTGGCGAACCTCGCACGGTCTGAGACAGTGACTCACCTCTTCCTGGAGAAGCCCCTGACCTCTGTGACAGCTTCGGTTAGGAAACCCTACGGCAGACAGGACCTGTGCTATCTGAACGTAAACACACAACCTGAAAAGATCAATTGCTTTGGCAGCTTCTAAACACATCTGGATATTCCGAATAACAAAGAGCTTAACAATTTCTTGTACGTCATGGCTTAGTTACTAAGAGAAATGCTCCCTGATTGGAATTAGGAGCACAGAGCTTGCTACAGACTGACTTTAAGAGAGATCTGACAGAAAAAAAGATTTGGCTCCCCAGAATGAGCAATTAGTCATCCTCAACTGGTATAGCACGGAAAATTTTATTTGCAACCTTCTGCTTTGAGATTCGAACTGAGAGCATGATTAAAAAAATAAATCCAGTCCTGATTTAAAACGCAAACAAAAGCTATGCGAAAGAATCTATAAATCCACCAAAACACCAGTAAACGATCCTCTGCTCCACAAAGCAGGCAACCACAGCCACACAAATCCCAACACCCAGCCAACCCCCATACACAGACTCTTCCTTGTTAATAAAAGTGGGGTGCAGGAGAGAGGTAGAGTCAGATGTTTCAGCTTGTACTCCCCTTAATAAATCACTTAATAAATCAGTAACATGGCAAGAAGAGTAGGATGGGGACAGGCAAAGGGACAGGGATACACCCAAGTAGCTGGTGTTTCCCTTCTCCCCCAACCAGCTGCTCTGCGACATGCTTACCGGGATCCCTAGAGCCTTTAGAATATTCATTTTACACATCGGGCAGGTGCGATGGTCTAGCAGCCACGGGTCTACGCAGGACTTGTGGAAAAGATGCCTGCAATGAAAACCAGGATGTTTTAATTCAAATCCACCACAGCACAATTTATCACTTAGTACCAGGCGCTTCTGAATTCAGTAAAGTAAGAGTATTTCGAACGGTGCAGTTTGTGACCTCTGCAAGGACTGCAAAACTATATCCTACACACACAACAAGGCTAAAATTATTTCTGCAGCATCTCAAGCACGCGTGCACAGTGTTGCTCAACTGAGTTTGGTAAAGAAGACGTGTATGTAATTAGAGAATTAGGAAAAATAAACAAAATGCATCAGCAAACCCCATATTCCTTAAATGTTAAAGGCAGTCAGTAAACAAACCTGCTTGCAGGTAAAGGTAAACATCACATTAGTGTTTCTTGATGGTTTTACAGACAAACCTGATTACGCATAATTTAAATGTGAAGTCATGGGGGGTCTGGTATTTTTTAGGATGCAGGCATAAGGAAATAAAGTAAATCAAAAAAATAAAAGAAGCTACTTTTCATTTAAACGGAACAAATAAGATGATGCTTTTTAAAACAATCTCCCTGACTTTCCTGCTCTTTGGAAGTTGCCCATCAGAGTGAGCTCCTAAACAATTCCAGCCCTGAATGGGTTGTTGCTAATCCTGTGCTTGGGCTGAAGTGGCCACTAAGCAACTACCTGAGCCCTGTGGCTGCTGGGGGCCACTTTTCTTAGACATTATCCAGGCAGAGGAACTGAAAGCTTCTTGTCTAGCTTCTCCTGACACAAACTGAGATTGAATATAGATATATTTAATGCGTGTACCTGACTGACAGATTGTATTTGCTCTCGTGAGCATATTTTGTTACCCTGTGGTTATAGAGAACAAACATTATACAATGCAGGAATGTGGGGCTTGCGATTGAAGAAACGCTGTTGAATAGGCCAAGTAGAGGAGCTGGGGCTCAGCCCAAGGCGCTGAAGTTTGTTCAGCCCCACTCCTGAAGAAAAGGAGAAAAGTTTCCTACCAGGCACATAGTCTCAGAAATCAGACTGGCACATAGGAAACTGAAAACTGACTTGCCTTCTTAAAAATCTTTTTTAATCAGTTAATTGAATAGAAAAGTTGAGTTGGAAGGGACCTTAGTCCAACTGCCTGATATAACTTAATAATAACTTAAGCAAAATTGGAAGAGGGTATTTTATTCTGAAAAGTGAGGCTCGATACACAGCCTTGCTCCAAAATGTACAAACTAAGACGAATTTTCTTGTTCTGAAACACTACACAGATCAGCTTGAAATTTCCTTTCTGAGGCTTGCAACAGGTGCTCCACGTTTTACTTGGCAGAGCCTGAAAATCACGTTTCGATCTGCTTGAACTTTCGCATTTGAGCGGTCGCCAGCTTGTGTTTCCCTGTGCTGTCACTGCCCCACGTGCATCGCTCCTACAGCACAGCCATGGAGTCCAACCACGGACCACAGCCCAACCACAGGTGGACACAGCTCACAACTGCCCAAGGCTAACTGCATGAGCTTCAATAAGGCTCAGTGTTGGGTCCTGCAGTTGGGTCACAACCACCCCATGCAATACTACAGGCTTGGGGAAGCGCGGCTGGAAAGCTGCTTGGTGGAAAAGGACCTAGGGGTGTTGGTTGACAGCAGGCTGGATATGAGCCAGCAGTGTGACCAGGTAACCAAGGAGGCCAATGGCATCCTGGCTTGTATCAGAAAGGATCCCAGGCCAGCAGGACCTGGGAAGTGATTGTCTCCCTGTACTGGGCACTGGTGAGGCTGCACCTCAAATAATATGTTCAATTTCGGGACCCTCATGACAAGAAAGACATTTCGGTGCTGGAGCGTGTCCAAAGAAGGGCTGCGAAGCTGGTGAAGGGTCTAGAGTACAAGTCTTATGAGGAGTGGCTGAGGGAACTGAGATTGTTTAGCCTGGAGAAAAGGAGGCTGAGGGGAGACCTTATTGCTCTCTACAACTACCTGAAAGGAGGTTGTAGCGAGGTGGATGTTGGTCTCTCCTCCCAAGTAATAAGTGATAGGATGAGAGGAAATGGTTTCAAGTTGCACCAGAGGAGATTTAGATTGGATATTAGGAAAAATTTCTTCACTGAAACATTGGAACAGGCTGCCCAGGGAAGTGGCGGAATCACAATCCCTGGAGGTATTTAAACACGTTTAGATGTGGTGCTTAGGGACATGGTTTAGTAGGACTTGGCAGTGTTAGGTTAGTGGTTGGATTCAATGATCTTAAAGGTCTTTTCCAACCTAAATGAATCTATGGCTCTGCCTGGAGCAGGGCACATACCAGACTCCACAAGGAAATGCAATCTCTGAGAAAGCCAGAATCACTTAAATATTTAGAACTATTTTGGTGCCTTAAGTGGTATGCATTCAGCTGAACGGGTCAGCTGCTGCCTTGTGTCGCGGTCTCTCTCATACAAGAAGATACACATGGTCTTTCAACTTGATGGAAGATACTGAGGTGCACTTCCACCAATATTGATTTGCAACCCTGGTCAGTCCACGTACTTGCTGGCTGGCTGGCTTGCTAGCTGCCTTCAGTCCTAAGTAACACTAGAAATACAAAGCCAAAACTGTGTGAAATCTCAGAATCTTATTCTTTTCACTGCAATGTTTTTTTTTCCTCGCTACTTCTAGAAGAAACGCGTCCTTTGTGAAACAAAGCCACAGGGCAAATTATCACATTCCTGTACTTGGTCTGACTTTACACAGCTATGGGAAAGGGCAAATCTGTTCTTGGAAGTCTGACCCAGTCTAATTATATCAGCTGGCTGCAATATCAAACTTTGTCAAACCTCATCTGATCTTGTGTGCCAACACGATTAGCACAAATGAAGTACCGTGATACTTGACGCTCAAACCACTGCTTTACTAAGGCTACTAAAGTTCACAACCCTCCCTCCCTCCAAACAAAACTTGCTTTACTAGGTAAAAACAAGATGCACCAAATTTCGGTCTCTGTCCTGAATAACTCCTCCTTCCTTTCATCTCAGAAGGGACATATTCAGCACATGATCAGATGTGCATTTTGAATAGGTGACAGCATAAAGATACAGTCTCAGGCATGTGTAATTTTACATTTAGAAGTCTAACCAACAGAATTCCTTAGGTGTGTTAATTCACAGAGAGTACTGAAAGTCAACGTTTGGCTTTTCAGCTATTTGAAACAACTCTGAAATTCTTCATGGTGATTGGTTTTCTATAATTATATACTCAAATTCATAAACAACTATGTCTAACTGCGAACATCTGAAGCACATTTGTGCCAAAATAACCAGTATATTTACAAAATATGAGATATTTGTTATTCTTTTGAAAAAAACCCTAGATTTCCAAAATCCGTTTCAGGTAAAAAAAATACATAACTTCTATCAAGCCATTTTACCATAGACCAGAAAGTCTCTTTCTGTTTTCAAGTCCAAGCTTTGCGAGCCTCAGTCAAGCTGTGGTTCATATTACAGCATTTCATAATGTTTGTTAATCACCAAAAACTTGGAACTTTCACGCTTTACAGACTTTAAAAACCTGAAATATAGTGTTCCTAAAGTTGACTTCGAAAAACAATATTCTACAAGAAATCCTACTAATGCTGAGAAATTTAAATGCATGACAGATCACGTCACTTTGCACTTCTCAATACTAAACTAGCACAGTGTATTATGGCTCTAGCAATTTCAGATTTAATATGTACAACAGAAGGACCTTGATTATTTGACAGAAATCTACAGAAAAACAGAATGTTATTGAAAATCAGATTAAGATTTTAATTTTAAAATTTTTATACCATGCTATATAATTAGAGTGCTCACAATATCTATTTTTGAACATGTAAACATTTGTGCAGAGAAGTGAGGTGGGAGGCTTTGCAGATCTGGATTCAAAAGTTTAGTTTCTTCGTTATTCGCTACAGCACTATATACTTGCTTATGGCTTCCAAAAAATTGCAAATTGTGTGCTGCCCTGATAAGTTTATCATTCAAATTCAGGTAAAATAAGGGTCAGCATGAAGTAAGAGAGCAACAGCCACATGGTAAGACAAAGATGTAAAAAGATCAGCTGCAACAAAAATCCCTCTGCCTCTGCCATTCTGACGCAAGTTTCAAAAGGAAGGAGAAGGTGGAGGCACCATGGATGAGTTCAGAAGTAATGACCCATAGAGGGAGACAGTAAAAGAGCTATTTCAAGCACAGGTTCAGGACATGGCTTTGACAATCAAAGTCTGAGCTAGAAAAAAACATGTTGGGTTTTTTTTGTGTTTTTTTTTTTTCTTTCTTTTCTGTTGTGTGCCACCACAAAGGTTGCAAAACTCTGTTGATTTGGGCGAGTTGAAAAGTTTCTCAAAAGAACTGTAATTGATTAGTTGAGAGAGAGTTAGGGGAGAGGAGAGGAGAGGAGATGTCGTAACAGCCTTCATCCAAAACAAAAGCTTCCATAAGGAGAAAGGAAACAACTGTTCTTCACCTCTCCTAGGGATAAGAGACACAATGATGTGTTTAAACCGCAGCAAGTGAGATCCAGGTTACTTAATAGGAAAAGTTTCACCACAATCAGGGTACTGAAGCACTGCAATAAATTATTAGGGGTATTTGCAGAGTCTTCATCCCAGGAGACTGCAGAGTGCGTTGGAAAAAACTCCCAAGAAGGACACGTGTGCAACCAGTGCCCCTGTGATGCTTCAGAGTTGCCAGCCTCCTGGGATCCCTCCTGTGCTCTTCTGTGGCTGCATAAAGCCCACAGAGCACAAAGAAAGAAAAAGAACCTCAAAATCCCAGGGCGTTTCATTGACAATTATCTAAATAGGACTTCATATTTTTTTTTAACTGGAGATTACTTTTCTTTGAAGTGTATTTAAATTTTCTTTAAAGCTGCAGTTTTAATCATAGAAGAAAAAAAATTCATTTCAGACTCAGCTCAAAATCATTATAATAACTTGATTGCTGTAAAACTATTGTAAAGCTTTCAGCTTGCAAACAATTTTGGGAAGCCTTTTTTCCAGGTTAAGGGAAACTGTTCTCCTCCCATCTTCAACTACTAGTCCCAATTTTCCAAGCTGCATGCAAACAAACCTAGCAGTCATGTAATTTTTCTCAGAAGAAAACGATGAGCTAAGAGAAAAGAAGGCAAAAGCAGAGAGGTACATCCCTAGGGACCCTAAGTAAGAGCATCAGTTGCCTGGATTAGGCACAGGGCTGAAATAGAGGCTTGAGAAGGGTTTTAGTGAGAGACCGAGCAGCGCTGTAGCATCCAATGAGAAGGTTTGGGATTTTGGGAGTGCATGTACAGTATTATTTGTTTATTTTTGAGGAAGAAAAAAGGACAAAGAAGATGACGATGAGGGTAAGTGAGAGGAAGGAATCAAAGGGAAGAATCTGTGCCATAAAATAATTTTCACAGGAAGCTAATAAAAAGAGAAAGAAGGAGTGAAAGAGTCTCTGAGGTCATGGAGTGAAGGTTCAGGGGAAGGGAATGAGCTGGAACGGGGTCAGAAAATGCATTAATTGGTGACAGAAATGAAACAACCAAAAAAAGAGCTTATGAAGAACTCAGGAGAAGTGAGGTTGAAAGAATCATCTTGTCTCTCTGAAGAAGTTTAGTAAAGTTAGTAGAAGTTTAGTAAAAGGCACACACTGGGAGCAGCAGCACCACTAACTTCTCCAAAGCCAGCGCAGAAAAGACGAAGGCGTTTTGAAGCTGGAGATGGAGGACAAGCAGAAGGAACTAGAGCTATAACAAGAGATGTCACTCTGGGAACAATGAACTTGGTTACATTTGATGTTGTGTCAGTGTCCTCGAAGACAACTTCAGTGACGCCTGCTACCATTAAACATAAAAGCAGCTGCAAGCCAACGCTTTTTTTTTTCCCTCAAGTGTCAGCCCTTATTTATTTAATACATTCTGTACAGTGAAGTTTATTAACACAGTCAGTTGTGGGAGCTGGCTAAAGAGGACAGAGAGGAAGAAGCACAAGTTTACTGGAATTCTCTTCCTAGCTCTCCAGAGCAGGATACGCAACAACAAGCTATGCCAGTGCCTGCTCCCTACCAACAGAGAAGAGAGGACATTTGGGAAAACAGCGTAAGTACTAGTTAAACATATTTCTGTATGAATTCAGAGCTCATCCACTGCAATATTGGCTGGTGGATTTTTGGTACCAATTTCTTAGGAGACTCAGGCTCCAACCAGCCTTAAAAAGAAATCTCAAAGACATACAGGGCTGTATACAGAGCGTGCCGGCTGGCAGTGGTTTCCCTGGTACTGCCTGCAGTACAAAGCAGCTCTTGGGGTGTATTTGGCTTTGCGGGTAAAGAGTTCTACATGCTGAGCACCTCCTGGCTAGAAACACTAAGGTCAGCCAGCACCGGTGTCCTATGGTGCTGGCTTCTGTAAGGCTTGGTGAAATGCCAGCCTCTTACTAAACCGCAGGCTAATGAGGTTCCTATAGCAGAAACTGCACACAGTTTAACTGAGGATGCTGGAGGAAGAAATACAGAGTCTGTAGGTCTTTATCAAGATATAACACTCTCCTACTCACTTAAGAGAGACAGGCATTAATCCACCTTTTTTTTTTTTTTTTTTGGATGAAGAGATGCGGTTGGCAACAGAATCACAGCTATAATTTACAAGTCCAAAGCCATGCAAATGTGTAAAACACTGCCCTCACAATTTGTGTAGCAGGCAAGCCAGGGTTTGTGAAGTAGCTGCTGGAGAAAGATCTTTGAGTTTTTATAATTCAAAACTGCTTAGGCTCAAACTGCGAGTATCTTACGAGACAGTTCTGCTGCTGCTAACCTTTTAGCATGAGTCATTTTCTAGGCGACCTTTTAAGTCAGCCAAGAGCTGAACATCACCTGTTAACTATGTGTTTCCTATTCACTCTGCTTGACTCAACACTATGGATGACAAAGTCAGACTGGAGCCTCGTTGAATTACGAGGCGAGACACAAGTGAAAGCTCCAGCTTAGACAGACTTTTTGCTGTTGTATAACTACCTCCAAAAACTGCCTGTCTCTATCATGCAAAATTTCCAAGCTTTATTATGCTCCTATGAAAACAGGCTTGATGTCAAACCAAGGTCTAAATTTCCTGGTAATTTCTTATTTTTCTGTATTTCTGCTTCATGAAGTGCTGTATTTCTGCTTCATGAAGTGATGCATTTGTGTCTGCTTGCAGGAAAAAAAAAAAAGAGTTCACATGCAGTTTGTCATTGTGGGGGATTTACAGTAGGTCAAATTTATGATTAATCTGTTGCTTTTTGTTTGCCATTTAGTGATGGCAGTAAACAGACTTAATGAGTCACATGAACAGAAATGGACAGCCTGTAACATTCAAATATCTACTGGGGAACAACATAGCAGGAAGAGAAACAAATATTTCAGTTTCTCAAGCCAGCGAACATGTCTGCAGAAGAAAAACTCTATTATAAAAAAAATAAATCTCTGCTCTGTACGTACAGCACTTGAGATTCCTATTTCTAGGGAACTCAAACGCTTGCTCTTGCTCTCCTGAGGGAACCACTGTTCCTAGGAAATTTCCTAAGAAACTGATTTCCTTAGAGAAATCCTTCATTAGCTAACACTTCACAGGTGACAACACAATGGCACAGAGAGATGAACACAGCTGTTATGGGTGGCAAGAGGCTGTGCTCCTGTGTCACATCACCACGAGTGTATGTGCTGAACAGGGCATGTTCACATGAGGGAGGAAAACAGAAAGAACGCACCCAAAAACTCCTCGTCACCTCCATGCTCCATGTGCCTGAGAATATTTTCATGACAGCAACAGACAATGTGGTCTTTGTCACATTCCCTTCTTGCTTTACTATTTCTACTCAGCATTATCTCTTTTTATGGCTGGGTTTGGCTGGGTTTTTTTGGAAAGAAGTCATCCCTTTCTCAGCACCTGGACATGGCCCAGGACAGCAAAAGAAGTAGCTCCATGGGGAGCAGGAGCCTGCTCTATCCCTGGCTGCTGTGCCCAGGGCTCACCTTGAAGTCAGGGGCAAATTCTTCCAAGGCACTTATTCTGGACTGATATAAAACTAGTGAGGAAAACAGAGGAATGAAGCCTTTAGTTTGAAAATCCTACTGAAGACTCTGGAATAGGCCTAGATCAGACAAAATTTCTGACTATCATGCTGAACTCAGGTTCTCACCACTGTTGATGCTATTTTCACTTCAAGCTGAAGAGAGGCATTTCAGATACCTTTACAAACAGATTCGGAATAAATCAAAAAGATGAACTCAGCCTTCCCTCCCCAAGCTTTCAGGTCCTCTCATCAGTGTGACACCGTGAGAACAGAGCCTGTCTTCAAGTTCAGAGACTATCAGAGCTAAAAGCAACTTCGACTTACCTGCAAGGCAAAATTCTGACAACGTCATTGGGCTTGTAGCCTTCAATACAAACAGCACAGTTATCAAAGTCTGGCTCAGTTTCCTACAGGAAAGAGAACATTCATCATTTTCATTTTTTGATTTTGTCAGCTAATCTCTTCATACAAGAGCCCACATGACAAAAGTAAAACGGTCACTGATACATGCTGCAAATCTAATACTGCATTTCAAGACAAGCAAGTCAGATTTTCCAACGCATTTCAACTTGGAAACCTGCCCTGGGAAGCATGCAGATTTGTTTAGCATGTTTTAACTTTCAGGATTTTCTGCATCTTCACAGAATCACCACCTTCTCTCCCTACTCCAACCCATCCATAAATCACTTACCAGTATTCCTCCCCTGCCTGAAGGACACGTAGTAGCTAAACAAGTAATTGCCATTCTGTTCTGCCTTGCTGTCCCAGCGATCTGAAGGAATCCTCAAGCACAGAGTTTCATTTGGTAATGAGCAATCTGAAAAATTACCTTATCACCTTTCCTGATTGTTCTGACTTGCAGCTTGCTGATTGCTTTCTTCGCAGCATCTCCCAGCCGGCGCTGTAATACAAAATTTGCTCTTAAGCAAAGAGTATCTCTTCATGCAGAAATCATCACCTTTTCTCCCTAGGCTTCTTAATAATCTAGAGTGACTGTACATGAAACAGGACAGTGCTGTATAAA